CAGGGAATTTACGCGATTCCTATCCGCCTGAGAACCCGGACAGCCGGCTGTCACGGAGAGGCGACTACTGTTCGGCCCCATGTTATCGCCTCCAACCGCCATGGAACTGGGTGCCAAGCTCTGCCGGTCATTGTTGGCAAGGGTGGGGAAACGGAGGTCGGTGACGCTATGTTGCTGGGGTACAGACATGCAGGGGGGGGACCGAAAGGAGACAGGAATTAGAAAACCAAATACCAATTCAAAATCAGCGACATACTTTTACGAATCTACAGGTGATATGATAGTTAAATAGATTACAAATAGAGATGTTATTTAAAATAATGATAGCATTTTGGTAGGAAATGTCTCTTGAACCATTGAAATATCAGAACATGATACCGACTTTTTCTTGGATTTCAAAATACATGTACAAGAGAAATAAATAAAAATGTCAGCGAATACTCTGTGGGCTGCATGGAAAGTTTTTGGAACAGATACTCACCGGTACAGGACTTCTGCTTTGCTTCATTGATCTAATAAACTGAACATCGTCTGGATATAAGATCATTTTGTTTGGCCCTTCGTACAGAGTCTTCTTCTGCCGATACCGCCTGAAAAACGCATATTAAAAGCCGAACTTTAAGACCCAAAAAGGAAATAATTGAATGCAAGAGATTCATTTGGCTTCTTGGACATCGATGAATCATAATGTGTGTCAATCGTTGGCTTATTCAGGACGAAACCGACTCATAAACAATATACAGTGATGATAAGGCTATGCTCAACCAGCTACTTTTATTGATGATCTCTCTTCGGAGGAAGGATTGCGTATCCAATTCATCTTGAACACCCAAGTCCATCTGTTCTGATTTAGGCATTGGACCTAAAGGTTTGAAATTGAGAACACTACTCTCTAAGATACTACGTCTAAGAGATTCAACATGTGGGCAACGTGCAATTCCAGCCTCCTGATGAGGTAATTTGGCAGCCAAAAGTCCATCTGAGCCAAACAAGGCTTGATAGAAGAGGAATATGATTTCACACTTAGAATATCTAGTGTATGGACCCTTATTTATTTAAGGTTATGAGGGGACTGGTAACTGAACGAAATAGGGTGAATAAACTTCATATATATATATATACAATAAAAAGCTTATAAAACATTATTTAATGCTTTTCAGGAATTTTCCTAAAGCCCATCTAAACAGACATTTTTGACGATAACAAATGGGTGATGTCCATTAATTTATTTGGTTGGTTTATACAATTAAATCTCTATTTTACCTTTCATTTGCAACCTTTTTTTCTATCCTAAAAGTGTCTCTTCTTCAAGGCAAATGCAATTTTAAATTTCCAAAATCTCATCCTTCAATCCAACGGGACTCAAGGAGGAGTTGTATACATACTCTGTCATACAACCCCGTTACCGTCAGCCTGAAGCTTGAGGCCCAAGCAAACGGGTGCTACAGATCCCTTTCAACAATCACATCAATTCGCCATAAGTACATCGGAGCAAAGCTAACTTCCACATTAACTACAGAAGGACAGGTCTTGTAGTTTTTGCTCACCTCACGATAAATATGCCGGCAGTTGTGAAGGCGCCCAATATGATCAGCACAGACAGGAGGATTAGAGCGAGGTTTGTGTCCAGACCTTAGCAAAATGGAAAATTAATGAGCTCATAATAATGATAAGAAAAAGAAAAAAAATATATAATAGAGTAAGATAATCTAGTATATCGAATTCATAAGTAGTTCATAAGTAGTCAAGCTTATACCCAAAATCGTAGTTGGCTCCAACTGGAAGAAGATTATCGTCAACTTGGTCCAAAAATCCTATCACGGGTGGAGATATTCACCGACTCTGAACCTGATCAGGAGTGGGCAAGGGTGCCGGGCAGTCTAAGGAACCCTGCCAAATAAGTATGATTAAAAAAGACGAGTCCTGTACTGTTGTTTTTTTGGCGACGGCAACCTCTTTTGTCACTGACTTCGCAATTATTGTGGCCAGTTTCCCCATTAGCCATTTCTCTCATACCAACTGGACAATATATATTCAGTTGACTTATGCAAATCAAGTATTTACAGCCATCATCTTAAAAAGCTTCTAGAACTTTGTCATCTCGAGTTTGACGTTAATTATGAGCTGAGGGTGCATTTATCGGTACGTTGAATCGCAATCTAAAGACTACTTTTGATAGAGTCTTCTTTGCAGTATTGCATACAGCAGATGATTTCAGTTGAAATACAGTCTGCCCCGTAGCTCCATTTTAAAGCTGTAGACTCTCATGGACTAGTTGCCGGGACAAGGAAATTGTATATTACTACGTTGCCACACAGTTGTGTCCATGTGTAGATTTGTCTGCCATGCCCAGGCCTAATTTCAAAGGGTATCTTGATTTTTAGGAGCTTAGTAGCCGCTGAAAATGGGCAGAATGAGGAATGGAGCATTTTATAGAAGTTATAATTGCAATTATATGGTTTGTATGAGTAAGACTTCTCCGGGACGTGAGAATTATGGCGACATTGCATTTCTCACGATCAAGCCATCTTCCGGAGTCTACAGAAGTAGAAAAGGCCGGAAATTACATTCCCGAAGGACTTTCAGAGTGGACATTATATTCTTAAGACTCAGCCAAATCAGCTCCATCGAATAGACTTCTGAGAAGTGTTCTATACCATTGCCGCATCCAATTGATTGCCAACCAAAGATAAAAGCACTAAACTTGTTTTATGCATTTTTCAACGGTAATTGTGTCATTGTTGTTCAGGTTAAAATAAGGAAGAAGCGCAGCTTAGCAAGCAATTTTTCTAGACATTGCTCAAAAGGCGCAGAAATGACGTATGGTAGAGCTTCAGAAATTCCGGGATACGTATGCATAAAAGTCGGCTTCCTAATCTCTTGGGAAAAAGCGTTTCCGGTGAAAACGCGTTAAGCTTCTGTCTACCCTACCATCATCAGTTCAAGTCATATATTTTAAAACTAATTAAAGCCAACGAATAAAGAATTCTGCCTATCATAAGACAGAAGAAATTCTAACTAAATTTCCTCCAGACTCGAGGAAAATTGCCTCGAGGACAGCGTCAGCCAAAACGTTCCAGCAAAGCTAATTGATAGCGGGAAAAAGATAAATCCGTAGTTTAAACTTTTTCAGAATATACCTTCTCCTGAAATGGAAGTAGGCTCAACTCTTGTAGAAA